ACTCCTTTAGGCCAAAAGTCACTGGAATACACCGTGTCTATATCCGCTGCCACCCTAAAAGAAGAACTAGAGTTGTCTGCTCTAAGTTGGTCGATGGTAAAGTTTCTATGTGGAATTTTTCTCTGTAAGTACTTTCTGAGGTCTTCAGATGTTGTCTTGGGATTTAATTTACAGACATAGATCCATATCTTCTTATTAGCTGCTCTAATTCCATTGTGTTCTTCTTCAGAGGACCCCTGAATAACTTTCTCCTTGCTTTTCACTGCTTTAATATTTGTTGAGTGTGTTTTTGTAATGTGTCTGCGTTGTTTCTGTTTCACGTTGGAAATGTTTGAAATGTTTGCAAGATGCAGTGGCACCTCTATTATAGTTTTATCCATGTTCTCTGATATATTAGACGTGTTCAGACTATTTGTGACATCCATTTGTGTAATTGAACATACATTTGACGATTTATCAGACTTCTCCAGTAAACCTGGTTTCTTCGTAAACATTCTAATCAATTCAATATTTGTATCTCGCAGATGATAAATTGTTTGTTTAAGAGATGATATTTCGTCCAACAATTGTTTGGTTTTATCACTTACAATTCGAGTTATAATTTCTTCCAATTCAGTAGTTTCAACCATTTTTTTTGCTTCTTTGCGTCTTTGTTAGTATTACGCGTTTCCACCATCTTTTGGTTTCATTCAAAAAAAATTCAAAAATAAAATTATACAACTTTAAATTTCCTGGTTGATTTTAATTTTACACACAACGTGGCAACGTTGAAGATGGACTTGTTATAAATTGTTTACTAAACGCCTTTTATTTGTTCAAGGTTAAGATTATTGCAATTTACTTTTTACTTTTTTATCTTAATATTATAAATAAAAACGAGATTTTTTTGTGCTAACCACTTTTACTATAGGTTAACACTATTCACTTTGCTATTTTTAGCTATAGTAGGTGTATTTTTACATGCAAAATTCAGTAAATACGAAAGCGTAATTTTTAATAAGTTATAATTGTATCGTTGCCACGTTGCCAGTAAGATAGTTATTTGAATGAAATGATAGATTTGGGAACTCTTAGTAAAAATTAAAAGTTTAAAATTAATCATATATTATTTTTCAAAAAATTGATGATAAAACAGTTTCTGTTGAACTTTTGGCACAAAAACATTTCAAATTTATGATTTCAGTCTAATAACTATTTAGTCAACATGTTTAATTTATGTCAATAATGACAAGTATTGATAATTTCGATTCTAAATATCTCGAGAACCATTGCTCGTAGTGATTTTTACCACGATACTTTTTTTAAGAAAAAAACGTCGTAAATGTATATTTTTTTACTTAATAGTATTATACAGGTACGGATGAAAAGTTATTACTATTCAAACAAGTTAAAACTATGTAGGTGGCGCCCTCTACAAGTAGGAGTCATATTGATATCAAAATTAAATTTCTCATGTCAAAAAACTCCCAGACACCAATTTTCATCCAAATATTGAAGGTAATTCAGAAATTATTTGGAAAAAATCGAAATAAAAATGAAATTTCTACACCCTGTATCTCCGAAACTAAGCATTTTCGGACATACATTTATACGAACTTTTTAACTTATTTTTATCTGCAGAATATGCTGCCAAAGTTTCCGAAATACAGTTCGGACCACCCTGTATTGTATTGACCAATTTTTTATTTTGAGTACCATTTTACAGGCATTGTATCAAGGTTCTATTTCTTTATCATAACATATTATAGCTATTTATGTAACTAGTACCTAAAATGATGTTTTTTAGGACGAATCATTACTGTTTGCGGACGAGGCGTTAGCCGAGTCCGAAATAGTAGATGAGTCCTAAAAAACATAATTTAGGTACGTGTTACATACACTATTTTTTGTCATACGCTTTTTACAGTTTTTTAGAACGCATATTTGCAAATTTTCCATATTTGAAATTATAATGTTTGAAAAAGTTGGCTTATAAATTCATATCTTAGTAACGAGTTTGTTTATTTCATCGCATTTTGACATGTCATTCGAAATTTGTCACAAAATCACACAAATTCATCAACAATTTTAAAATGTTCCAAAATCCCGAACATATTGCTAATAAGGCCAAAGAAATCGTGTTGGATTTACTTCCTGTGAAGTCTCGTGCCATTTACCAGAAAGAATATGATGTTTTTAATGAATGGAAAGACAAAAATGGCGTATTCGTTGTAAATGAAGATGTATTGCTAAATTATTTCCACGAAAAAGTAAGTACCTAGGTACCTATTTAAAAGAGGCTTTTAAATTAAAATATTCTTAAATTACAGTCACAAACATTCAAACCATCGTCAATTTGGTCGAAATATTCCATGCTGAGAGCAGTGTTAAGTGTTAAAGAAGATATTTATATTGACAAATTTCCAAAACTTATTGCTTTTTGAAGAGGAATTCGGTTGGTTACGAGCCTAAAAAGTCTAAGGTTTTGTCCATAAAAGAGATCGGTGATTTTTGGCCACGGCTAGTGATGAAACTTATTTACTTACTAAGGTAAGTTTGCGATAATGATTTTTAAAATATATAGATGGTTTCTTATTCCATTGTATTTGATTTTAGGTAGCTCTTGTCATTGGCCTTTGTGGAGCATGTAGAAGAGAAGAATTGTACTCTCTACGAGTGCAAGACATCATAGAAAAGACAACAGCTGCCTTTTAGTTACCCTTGCGGATACAAAAACTAATATCAAAAGAGTGTTTCCGGTGGTGAACGAAGGGAACGTTGTCAATCCAGTTGAGTTGTATAGAAAATATGCTTGTCTTAGGCCAAAAATGTACCACATGATTATGTCTTGTTTGTGACTGTAATTTAAGAATATTTTAATTTAAAAGCCTCTTTTAAATAGGTACCTAGGTACTTACTTTAAACAAATAACTTAGCTTTTGATATTGTTAGTATTTAATAATTTAATTATAAATATATGTATAATTTTATGTGATTTTGTGACAAATTTCGAATGACAAAATAAAACAACCAAATAACGAATTTAGACATTTTAGTCCATAAAGGTTGCCATGACGACCTTTACGGCCTAGGCCGAAAAAGAAACATTTTACGGACTGAAATGAGTCCGTAAAATAGCTGTTTTTGGGAGCGTATGACAAAAAACGTATTTATTACACTATACATGGTTAATAGTAACTTAAACTACTAATATTATAAACAACCAATTTTACTTAATTTCATTACAATACATTTGAGTTAGGTAAAAAAGATATTTTTACCTCAACGTAGGTTTCTTTATTTTATTTGTTTTTATGTGGTTTGCCAAAATTTGCGTCTTGGTTTATACTGTATGTATCTAATTAAAATATCAATAAATTAACGTGCAATGCATTTCATAATTATTGTATATACGATACGCATTTATTAGTAATGTAAACTTAAATACTAAAACATCTTTTTTGATTATATTTTTTTGAACACTTATATGGTATTTAAAGTTTTATATACATGTTACATATACATGTTTACAGAAACGAAACAAAGTTGACAATCTTATCAATATTCTGAGCATACGCAGTTTCTTCGACTTTATTAAGCCTTATTACAGTGCTATACTCTATATAGAGGATCGGCTACCTCTCGCATGTACTTGTGATGTGTGTCATCAGTGTTTCACAAGTACACGGGACCTACAGTTTATTGCCGAATCCGAACGGCACTATTTGAGAGGCTGTACAAGGCAAATATACTCAAGGTGGTTTGCCATTGCATTCCTTGAGGTGGCGGCTCGTTGGTCGCTCTATTTAGATAAATAAATATTTTTATTTAAATAAATAAAGCGACCGTACTGGCTGGGGATCGAACCCAGTATCTTCTGCTCCGCAGATCGACACACTAACGCTGGAGCTACGACCGGCCACCTATTAGGCTATTAAGCCTAATAGGCTATTAAGCCTAATAATATATTTATTTAAAACCGGTATCTGGCTTACTAATAATAATTTAACATACGATTATTCGATTAGAAAGAAAGGTAATCTGTTATATATTTTCATATTTGCAAGGAACTTTGACTATATTGCTATTAGGATATACAACACTTTACCACTTCATATCAGAAATTTAATGTATAATATCTTAGAACATGTGACATAATAACATTTTAGTAACTCATCAATCCGGGTTTCGAGATGGGCACAGTTGTGCCACTGCCTTATTGAAGGTATCTGATGGTATTCTGACGGCATTGGATAAGGGAGATGTTACAGTTCTTGTTTTGCTAGACTACAGTAAGGCTTTTGATTGCTTAAATTATGATATATTGATGTCTGTTCTTCGTTATTATGGCTTTTCGAGTGATGCGTTGAAATTGATTCCTAGCTATTTTACTGATCGAAAGCAAATGGTAAGGGTGGGTGCAGATATATTTGGGTGTATCGAACTGAATCGTGGTGTACCTCAGGGTTCTATTCTTGACCCACTAATGTTTTCTATCTATACATCTCGCATTGCAGATGTTGTTCGATACTCGCAAACTCATGCATATGCGGATGACACACAGATGTATGCTTCATTTTCCAGAGACAATTTCAACCAAGCCTTGAACAGTATTAATTTTGACCTACATAATCTGTATTGTCAGTCTCTTAAGTATGACTTAAACTTGAATCCTAGGAAGACAAAGGTTATGCTATTTTCGAGTAAAAATCATTATCCGAAACTTGTCAGTCAAGTTAGGTTAAATATCAACGACGAGGAATTGGAAGTGGTTGAGGAGGCCAAAAAGTTGGGGGTCATTATTGATCGGCCTTTAACGTACGAGAAGCTCTGTTTGCATCCAAAGGACGTATGCTGGCCTTAGACAATTGTACCCTTATCGTGACTGCCTCAATTATAAGTTAAAGGCTAATTTATGCAATGTTCTTGTCTTGTCACATTTTTCCCATTGTTCACATCTTTTTTCTGAGAGCCTAAATGTTTATGATAGTTACCGCATACAAAAAGTACAAAACACATGTCTAAGATACATCTTCAATCTCAGGAAATATGATCATGTTTCTCATACACTGCGAAATATAAATTGGCTTAATATGAAGAACAGACAACTCTTAAGTACTTTAAACCTGTATCATAAGATAGTAAAAACGCAACAGCCAAAGTACCTTTTTGAAAAAATTCAGTTTAGAGAAGAGGCTCATAATATTAATTTACGCAAGAAGGATAACCTAACTATTCCCCCCACAATCTTGTATGAGTCATCTTTTTCCTATACAATTTCCAAATTGTATAGCGAATTGCCAGCTTATATAAAAGCTACTGAAAATTTAAACCGTTTTAGGTTTTATGCCCGTCAGTGGCTTTTTGATCTACAGTAGATTTTTTTTGTTAATTTAATCGCGTTTCAGTTATGTATATACTTTTTTTTGTTTTCTTTTTAATGTCATCAAGGAGTTAAATGGAAGAGCAGAGCTCAGTTAGGCTCTGAATTTCGCTCCTTCTCATTTAGAAGTGACTGCCTCTTTTGTTTGTATTTTTTTTGGTTATAGTATTTATTTTTTTTATCAGGTTGTCATTTTTTATGTTGTAATTTTTTTTGTAATATTTCTATTTTTATTTGGGAATAAAGATATTATTATTATTATTATTTCATTCTATTCTCTTCTCGCCTTCTTAATTGACGGTAATAGGTGAATCCGGGTCTCAACAAGAGACCTAAGGTATTCACCCTATCACCTTTCGGAGTATATGTGCTGTTCCCAGCAAAGCTATCTTCTGTACTTCGTTCGTTGATGGGTGGCCAGGTATAAGTTTGATGAAATTACTATGCCCTTTAGTAAGCATACCCAGTGCACCAATTACTACTGGGACTACTTTTGTCTTCGTGTTCCACATCCTGCTGATTTCAATTTCAATATCTTTATACTTGCTGATCTTCTCGACTTCTTTCGCCGATATGTTGTTGTCGTCTGGAACAGACACGTCGATCAGGAGGCAGATACTGTTTTTCTTGTCATGGAATACCAGGTCCGGCCTGTTGGCTAATATTGTTCGGTCTGTAATAATTGGCACTCCCATAGGACTACAGTGTCGTTTATATTTATAACTTTCTCGGGAACGTATTCATAATACTTGTCCTGCACTTGTACACCCAACTCTTTGCATATAATCCAATGTATGTATGCTGCAACCTTGTTATGTCTAGAGGTGTATTCTGTCGGAGCAAGTGTTGAGCAGCCAGCTACCAGATGGCTGATATGTTCTTCCGCTCTATTGCACATTCTACATTTGCTGTCTATAGATTGTTTTAGGATGTTTTTCTGATAATATCTGGTCTTAAGTGCTTGATCCTGAGTGGCGATGATGAGACTCTCTGTTTCTCCTTGAAGTCCCGAATTGCTTAACCATGCTGTGCTTCCTTCCCGATCGATTCTCGGTTTATTCAGATTTCGGTAGAATTGTCCATGCAAACGCTTTTGTTCTAAACTTTCTATTTTATTTCGTTCTATACTATGTTTTAAATTTTCAATATTTTGTGTAGTTGTTTCTTGTTTAGAGAATTTGGCTAGGATATTGATAGCTTCTTTTTGAATAGAGTATTTGGCCTTCGTTTCATCGTGGGTTGCTATTGCCTTACAGTATTTTATCCCTGTTAAGAGCGATATAGTTGCTCAGACTTGTGATGGCAGAGTTGAAAGCCGACTCAATTTCTATTAACCCTCGTCCACCATTTCGTCGTTTAATATACAGCCTATGCACATCGGCCTTTGGGTGATGTAAGCCACCTATGGTGAGAAGCTTCCTAGTTTTGCAATCAACTTTTCCAAGTTTCCTTCTTGGCCAATCAACAATACCAAAACTATAGGTCATGACCGGAACAGCTAATGTGTTGATCGCTTTTATTTTATTCGTTGCGTTTAATTCTGTACCTAATATCTTCCTTACTCGCCGGTAGTACTCTTTTGAAATTTTTGTCTTCATTTTATTGTTATCTATCTCGTCCATTTCTTCAACATCTAGGTACTTGTAAAATTCACCAATATCTAGATTTCTTATCGATGTTTGTTCGTCTAATTTTACATTATCTATCTTAATTAGCTTGCCACCTTTATATATTGCCGTAGCACACTTATCAAATCCGAACGCCATTCTGATGCCATCAATGAATTCCTTGACTGTTGAGAGTGCTAGTCGTAATTGGCTTTCATCTTTTGTGAACAACTTCAGGTCGTCCATGTAGAATAGGTGACTTATTTCGGTACTATCTGTCTAGCTTAAAACCTATATTTTGTCTATTTAACATGTTGGTAAACGGAATCAACGCCATGCCGAATAGCATTGGGGAGAGGGAGTCTCCCTGAAATATCCCTCTTTTGATTTTAATGGGCTCTGTTTGAATATGGCCTTTTTCGTAGAATTTATTATTATTATATTACAGTTGAGGGTTGGAACCTTTGGTGTTAAACAGCAAAATAAAAACACTAAATCACCACAATACACCAAAACACTTTTACTTTTACACTGGACGAGCGTTTCGCTAACCATGTTAGCATCATCAGCAGATGATTATAAACTAAAGTACAATCTACAAGTTGAGCGTTTATATACTCGCCCAGTGGGCACCGAGTGGGCGTGGCAAAAACTAGCCAACCGAGTCAGAGCCAACTGAGCGTAACAGTTAGATTTCCGCCACTAGAGTAGTAGGAACATCTAATTCTGCCTAATCAAAGCATCAGAATTAATAAATGTAAAGATAGTATGAACAGAGACAACGGTCCAATTCCTTCAAGTTCTTTGTTCCTACTACTCTAGTGGCGGAAATCTAACTGTTACGCTCAGTTGGCTCTGACTCGGTTGGCTAGTTTTTGCCACGCCCACTCGGTGCCCACTGGGCGAGTATATAAACGCTCAACTTGTAGATTGTACTTTAGTTTATAATCATCTGCTGATAATGCTAACATGATTAGCGAAACGCGCGTCCAATGTAAAAGTAAAAGTGTTTTGCTATATTGTGGTGATTTAGTGTTTTTATTTTTTATTATTATATTATTGAAATTATTATTATTAATAAATTAAAAATAGTCTTAAAACGATTTTTAATACAGAACGTATGTATGATGTTTTTGCATGTAGAAATGTATTTGATATTGTAAATTGAAAGAGAGTTTCGTTTTTGTTTGTATATTTTTTTCTAATTTCTTCCAGTTTTTATTTGTTTCCTTTATTTTGACATTGTTCTACCCATTTGAGGCATTATGTATTGTATTACTTGGGAACAAATAATAGTTATTTTTTATACAAGACGGTAAAATGGTATTTTATCGACCGAAAAGATTAATTCGTGAATTAATCTTTTCGGTCGACGATAATGCAATTTTATCGTCGTGTATAAAACAATATTTTCTTCGACTGTATTTCATTAACTAACTATATAGCGAGTTACGTTTTAAAAATATTCAGATATTATTATTTGAAGGAATTGATTACGAGTAGAAAAAATATTGTGCTGGGTTGGCGTTGGTTTCTATGTAATTTGACAAATAAATAAAGCTCTCTCTTTAGTTGTCAGTTCTGAGTCAATATTTTGTAATTCTCTTTTGTGTCGATTGCTGATTGAAATGGAGCCAGAAATGACTCAAAACGAAATAAGTAAATTATCAACAGATATTCAGGCTGAGGCGACAAACGCCATATCCAAACTACTTCCATTTAAATCCCTTACTTATGAAAAGGAATACAAAAATTTTCAAAAATGGAAGCAATTATAAAACGTGCGAAAATAATTAAAGTTTTTAACCTATCCTCGCTGTTAAAGTATCAATTAATCTACCCTTGCGGTTTAACCAACTATTTATCTACTATATTTGATAGATATAAGGCAATTTTAACAATTGCTGTGGAAAAAAATATTATTTTATGATTTATTTATTTATTTGAGGATGGGCAATATATTAGCAGATTTTAGTACTAATTTTTTTTATTTGCAACGTCATCAAGCCTTTAGAGTAGCATAAAAAGTTACCTAATAATTTGCTAGTGTACCACCAATGGTTTATAAAACCATTTTATACGCACAAAATGTTTTTTTCTTTTTTAAAATAAATATAAATTAAATAAATTTTGTTACAGCTTTAAATGAAGATTTATAAATATTTAAAATAGGTAGCTTAAAATTTGCCAACCGCTCATATATATTTTATGATCTTTGTTAGCTGTAAATGAAAACTTTCTATCTCGGTCTGCGGGGTAATCGCTGAAAATATAATTAATCAAAAATTAGAATAAAAATAAAATCTAGTTTAATGCTATAAAGCAAGGGATTATTGATTTTAACCTTAATATATAAAATTACTTTCCCGATTTATAACTTTACGTGGAACTATTTAATAATACCTAGGTATTTTTTTAAGAAAATGTAGGTTTAAGGGTAAGAAAATGTAGATTAAAGGCTTTTCTTTTTACATTTTTAGTTGTTTTCTATCGTGAACAGATGATTTTTATTCTTGTTTTGTAATTATTTGTTTCTTCCCATTCAAATGCCATGAAAAAAGGAAGAACATGAAAATTAATACTGAGTGCATGATAACATTTTTACATTACACTTTTTACCATCAAATAAAGATGTAATTTCTAGCATGAAAACTGGATAGGTTGTATGTACCAGAGATATGTGCCCACGTCCCTCAGAACTCACGAGTCGTTTTTAGTAAAAAGAGAACTTTTCAGATTCTCGAAACTGGGCCATTTTTTTGTAAACCCAAAAAATTCAGCATACATAAAAACTCGTTTATATGCGACACCCTGTACAATACTTATCCTCATTTACTCAAACTATTAAGATGCGGCATTGCCTAGCATGAAAATTCTGATTTTCGAGATTATTTATTAAAAAAGATATTCTTATTATAGTTTATACTATAGTAATATAAAAAGTGTAGTAGAACTATACGTTTTTGAAGCTTTTAAAAAGACAACTAATTTATTGACAAATATGCATTTACAAAGAAAAAAACATTAGTTAATATCATGCAGCGACCGCACATGCGGCAATTGGCGATTTCCGAGCGCTCGTCATCGGACTTCTCCTTTCCGTCCACACATGCAACCTAACTAACGCCTAACGCCTAACGTAGAGACGAGCTCTTGTTCTCGTGGCCGATCGAGTTGCCGAACTCCAACTTCCCCGTCCACACTGATCGGAGATCGGTGAAGCCCCGTTGACGAGCTCTCGGAAATCGCCAAATGCCGCATGTGCGGTCGCGGCATCAGGTTAATGTATATGTTACAGTAAAAGTTGGAAATCAATTTATGAGTTGTTCACAATTACTAGTAAAAGCTCACATTCGCTGATTTGCTAAGACTACGCCAGTAAAAGTTCAACTGCTATTTTTGAAACCAACTTTTATTAGTGAATGCTAACATTCCCTGGACGATGGCAGTGACTTTGAAAGATTCAGTTAGCGCGGTTGCCACATGTTGTAAAATATATAGATAAATATAGATAAGTTGAATAGGCAATATAAGGATTATAACGCCACCTTGGGTGAAAAAGTTTATAATGGGAACTCAGGTTCATCAGGTCCCATTACAAATAGGTTCCAGCTACCTCAGTAAATAATTAAGTAAAATATATGCACAGAACAAGAGATATCAAAAGGGAGGTGTATGGAAAAAGTGTACTAATTGAAAAGTCTAAAATGTACTGGATTCGTTTAATAAATATTAAATTTAAAGTTAAAACAAATCGCCAAGATCTATCATAAAATGTAGCAAATATTTAAATACGAAATAATGAAATATATATATACTAGTAAAAATGAACTATCCGTAAAATAAATTAAATCATGAATAGTATCACAAAATATTGTTGTGACTAAACTGTGAACAACCCTGATGCGTATTTGTGATTATGATTAAATGACTATAAAAAATAAAATGAAATTTAAATGTAAAAAATCCCCTGGTATACCAAGTTCACATACGATCGTATATTTAATGAAATAAATTTTAATCAATCATAAACGCAATAAAATAAGAGATGATTAAAGTCTTATCTGTCATCCAGTGGTCGTTCCAGTCAGTCCATGAGAAAATCCAGGTGTCTGGTCTTCAGTATCCCAGTGGCATTCCTCGTCACAGTGGCATTCACGTCACAGTAGTATTAGTTGCAGTACGCCGTACCCCAAATCCAGTAAAAAAAATGGTAACATCTTAAGCTAAATCATCTTAAACTCTAAAGGAGTACAGACAAGGAAAAGAAATTAGAAGAAGAAGAACCCTAAAATATGATCTATTTTAGTGACATGTTCTGATTTGGACATAATAAAATACCTTTCCACCATGTGGACGTTCCAAAACAAAATGGCGTCGCCACACGTTACTCCATGAAAAAGGGTTCTTTAAAAGTCCTCGTACTCATCTCGTACGACCATCACACACAGTCCGTGTTGTAAAATCCTGTTCTCTAAAATAAATAGTTGTACAAAAGAACATTACACAGCTGTACATGTCTCTTACCAACTGACGAATATAAGGCTCCCTCTACACGGCTTCTCTGGAATTCTGAACCACACACAGGCCAAAATCGCCCACAGCTAGTGCCAAAACTGCACAACCAGTCTTATCGACCCACAATAGAATTCCAGACAACTCCAAAGAAACAATCCCAATTCGGAACGGCAAGGCAAGGCCAAAAACTTCAATGGAGTTTTTATCAGTCAGTCAGGATCAGAAATGCTGCGTTTACCACGGCGCGGCGGTTCGAAGTAGAAGAAGGACGAGTTATTTGCAAAATCCTCAGAACATGCTCGCTTCCAAGTCAGAAATACCAACATAAAATTTAACACAGGCAACCAGTAAAACAAAAGACCCAAAATAAAACTTGACATAAAATTTTATTTAATGCATACGGATTGAGTGAAACATTTTATTACATCATAATAAAATTATAATAATCCCTACATAATATCTTCGGAAAATGATTAATACATTTTCCGATCATATATAAAAAACCGTTTAAAAAGATCGAAAACCTAATTTACAAAGATCCATCTGTCAACCTTCAACGCCGGTGTCACACGATCAGCTGACAAACAATTGAAACGTCAGTCTGTAAATCGTAATATAAACAAGATGAAATTTAGGGAAAAATCAACTATAATCAGGTAAAACCAATTGATTCCACAGAGGAAAAATACATAATAAAATCCTTAACCCATATGTATATTACACACCCA